GGAATCCCCCCCCCCCTTGGTACCCATGTGGCAGCTGCCCCATGGCACGGGTGCAGCAAGACTTGGCAGGGCACTACGTGCTCTCTGGAAGCCGGGGCCTCTGGGCCTGAGTGCTGCCAGGCTCTGGCTGACACGTGGAGCCGCCCCAGCTCCCAGACAGTGCGTGGTACCCTGCTGAGCCGCGCTGCACCCACGTGATGCAACAGCTGCTGCGCGGGTGCCAGGCAGGGGGAGTGGGGGCGATCCCTGCTGCCTCCCACTGCCCTGTGTTGTGCGGGGGGGGCTCTTATCGCCAGTCCTGAAGTCAGTGAGTGCTGGGCTTTAAGTCCTGAGAGGCTGGGCCAGGTGGGGGATGGGGCTGGCCAGGGCAGCCATGAGGGGCTGCTCCCATGGCTCTTCCAGCTGTGCCTGCCTCTGGCCCGGCAGGGGGGGCTGTGGGGGCTATGCCCTGCTGCCACTTGCCCAGCTGGCAGGGGGGGTGTGGTGAAATGCAGGTGTGGTTCGCTCCGGGGCGGCAGCAGAGCAGAGCCCCCACTCCCAGCACTGCTGCGCCTGCATCCTGTGCCCCTGCCCCAGCTGGGCAACTTGTCCTAGCCCCAATCCCTCCCTTCCCTCTGCCCTTCCCCAACCACAGCCGACTTACCAGCTAGAGGCAGCTGTCAGCTGCCTGTTTAGTCTATGGCCGAATCGCTGAATCTTTTCCGAATCTTTTTCCAAATCAATTTGAATGCTTATAATTGATTCGGGGCTTTTACTTGGTCTCCTGATTCAATTCTGATTCAGAGTTTCGGTCTCCGAATCAGGCCGAGTCTCCTCTGAATCAAGTTAGCTACCAAAGCTTCACACAGCCCTACCAGTCAGCCATGTTAGTCTGAAGCTGGACAGAAGGAAAGTTGCTGCTTATGAAGACCAAAATGTCCCACTCCAGGTCAGAGATGGGAAGATGGGCAGTAAGATCCTGCTGCTACTGCTGGTCTCCGCCATGGTCCAGGGGACGTGCCCACACAAGGTGCCTTCTGTAACCACCAAATGCTGCCAGAGCTCCATGCCTGCAGGCCAGATCTAGCCCACAGGCTGTAGATTGCCAGCCTCTAAACTAAGGGGTACTTGCAGAAGAAGCTTAGAGGTGACTGATTCTTTGGCTTAGCGGTGATGCGCTTTCTCCCTTCTCTTTCCGTCTTCCACAGTCTTTGCGGAAAGATGGCAGAGGACCATATTAATAAGAGTTGCGTGCCTCACGCAGGCATTTCGGGAGAGGGTTTCAGTCTCACTACTCTGCACTCATGTACGTTCGGGATGTGTGAAGAACGTGAAAGGTTCTTTATTTCCAGTCGTAGCCTGCTAGCATGGTAGGAAATCCACCCTAAAGGCATAGCCAAAGTTTGTGATGCTCAGTTAGTCTTGAGGTTTTGCTGCCCAGCCATGTATGTGCCTGGATACTTGTGGTTTATGTATTGAGATTTCCGTATTCCAGGCATACCGCATTTCTTTTAAAAATCTAGAAATAATTTGAGCGTCACAAGGCTTTAAAAATTTTTTTTAAAGATTATCAATAAGCCATCTTGTTAAGATGTTTGCATTTATGGATTTAGTTACTTGATTATTATTCCTATATTGAGCCTGTATGTTTTTTCACTGTTAAATCAAATTGCTGACTTACAGACACGTACTCTGCATGTGTTTATTGTATAATGTAGCAGTGTCAGTAACTTATAGTTAAGTGGTATGCTGTCATATTAAAATGCTTTATTGTTCTTCCTTCTTGATCAGCTATGATAGGCATTAGAAGTTTCTGCTTAAAAGAATGGAACGTTTAAACTGATGACCTTTTTTTTTTTAAAGCGTTTAATTTAACATGTACTCACTAGAATAAAAGGGAATTGGGCACAAGGGCCTATTCAGTTTACTATAATAGTGCAATATTCATGCCAGTAAGGCACTACAGGCTATTAAAAAGAAAATTTCACACACAGTAAACTTTGGGGTAATAGACCTTCCACTGAATTATGACTATAATGACCACTTTCAGAAGAGGAATGCTAGTATAAATATAATCTTATTATGAATTATATTTATTTATACATATGCTGCTTCTGTGGCAGGAACTGAAATATTCACCCCTCCTGGCTGTAAAATTCTCTTATTTTTCAACTTGCATATATAATTTCATATACAGCTGAATAAAGTACTTGTATTCTGGGGGCCATTGCTGTAAAATCTGCTGGGATGTAATGTTGTCTGAAAAATATATTCTAGATAACACGATGGATACCCAGCTGATTTGTCGAGGAATGTTATAGGAAAATAATTAGAGACATTGGTGCTGTTGGTGTTCCATGTTTTTCTGAGCTCTTTGGCTGCTTGTAGACATTTTAAAAAAAACAAACAAAAAACCCCACACGAAACCCCACCCCCAACAAAACCCTAAAAATGGTGCTTTACTTTAAACCTGGCGCACTCCCACTCCAAGCCCAGTGCATGCCCAGAAGAGGCAGTGTTAGTTGGACCCAGCTCACCCAGTGTCTTTATAGATTGGGTGCTTTACCAGGGGTTTTTTGGTGCTTTTATCTAATAGCTGATTGAATCAGCTGCTAGATAAAAGTGCCAAAAAGCCCCACTGAAGCGCCCAATCAATACAGGTGCTGTGGAGCCGAGTCAAAGTGACACCTTGCTGCTTCCAGGAAAGCACAGGTTTGGGGTTTTTTTTTTTAACATCTGCAAGCAGCCTGTGACTATGCTTTAAGGCCTGAAACCTCTAGGCCACTGATAATTTGGAAGTGTGTGGAGGTAAGGGAAGAATAATCTTTTTTTTTTTTCTTTCTCTAAAAAAAGAATTATAATAAAAGAAATTGATGCAAGTAGACTTGACTGTAAATGAGACTGTAACAGACTAGTATTAGTTCTCGGTGAAGGTGAATATCAAGTAAATAGATTTCTAGTTTCTCCACGTTTTGCCTGCTGGTGAAACATTTAAACCTGTATGAAACACTCGGTGCTTTTTTTTTTGAGGTTCAAACTATATCGATCAGAAAATGTTCTCTGCTAAAATGATGCGCTTTCAAAAATGAAGAGCAGATTGGTAAAAGGAGATCGGTAAAGGCTGTGTTCATGGAAATATTGGCAGTGCCTTGTTCTGGGGTCAGGTATACCTGTATGTTTATGCAAAGTGTTCTTTAAAAATGTCCAGTAGCCTGAGTTTTTCTTCTTACAGGCAACAAAACACTGTAATTCATGTTCTACATGCAAGGCGTGTGGGTGGGGTAGGGTTGTGTGAAGGACCATTTGTTAGACATGTTTTGTTGCCACAGCAGCCTGGAGGAACTTCAAAGGATAAATTAAAGAACAGATGGTATTAGAACACTTTCCTGACAGTATGCACTCCTCAGCATTTAAGCTGCCACAACATACCCTGAGGTGACACCAGTTCTACATATTGATCTTTTGGTGAAAGACATGCTGCTTTTTTTTTTTCTTTCTGTTTTACACTGTAGAAGATTCCTATAGTTTGTGCTCTTGCAAATACGTTTGTTACCCAAAGTGTTGTTTAAGAGTAACATGAGATTTGTCCATCTGCACTGAGTATTTACCTTGCTTGTGCTTCTGTATTTCTTTGTATTTCCTATTCAGGAAACGGTTTTGTGAACTCTCGAGCTTCACCAGGCCTTCTAGGAACCACTGGTGGGGGGAATGGTTTAGGCAAAGTTATGCCTACAAAGTCTCCACCTCCACCTGGGGGAGGTAATCTTGGAATGAACAATCGCAAACCAGACCTGCGGGTTGTCATCCCACCCTCCAGCAAGGGCATGATGCCTCCATTGGTAAGTTGGACAGTTCATTCAATAGCATACACAGGGTTCAGAGGGGATAAAAATCTATTCATTCACACAAACCCAAACAGCACGTAGCACACGGATACAATGGGAATGCTGTATTAAGTGCTCTGGTAATTGGAGGGACAACTGCAAATTGCCACCTAGGATATTACTGGCAAACACTTGAGGGGAAAAAAGTGCCTTTATAATGTCTTATTGGATAAATAAGTGTAGAATTGTGAGCTGATCAAATTGGGGAGTTTGGTTTGCTTTTTTTTTTTGTCTGACTGCTATATTTCTGGTTTGCTGGAGACCACTCATTCTCTTGGGTTTAGTGGGTTTGTTTTTTATTGGGAGCTCTTTGTGTCATCATCAAGGACAAGTCTCAATATAGCACACTGCACTGAGGGGCCCAAAATGAAATTTTTCTAATCTTCTTGGGTGGTTGTTTCTGTGGGTTGTAACGTAGCTCACACCAAAAAAAAAAAAAAAAAATAAGTCCAACTGGGAGGAACCCTAGTTGGGTGCAACGTGTTTGTACAGTAATCTGTCCCCTCCCATAGTGGAGCTTGCATTTCGATTGACGACATAAAAAACAAATGGTTGCTTCATTTTAGTCATCTTGTGGTCCTTATAAAACTACTAGCAGTTTAGCATGTAGGCTGAACAAAAGCTGCCAATCTCTGGAATTAGCAGAAGGTGTTGCAGGTCAGAGCTGAGGCTGGTAGAGCTCTATTGGGAAGTCATACTCAGCTTCTCGTTGAACTTGTGTGGCTAAACCAATGCTCTTAGTTCCTCCCTTTTATGCGCAAGCCTGTAAACATTTGAAGCACACATTTTCAGTTTATTTACCTTCCTTATGTGGAAGTAGCCAAAAGGAGAGTAGGCTGTAAACAGTAGGCACATTCTTTGTACAATATTTAGTTATTTTTAAGATTCCACGGATATTTTACATTTGCTGTTGGTGTAACATTAAATCTCACAAACTCACCGCAAGTAGCCAAAGAACGAATTAAAGCAGTTCTGAGTAACACCTTCATTAAAAACGTTTTAGGTTTTTTTGAAAATGCACAAATATAGAGCCCGTTCATAGAGGCACATTGACTGATGCCTAATAGAGCTCTAAATTCTTTTGAAAAATGGGTCTAGGAGGAAATAGTTTCCAGTAAAGTAGCATACAGTGTCATGTATTTATGTTATGCTCTCTCCTTAAATTGGGTGGTATATAATTGTCATTTTTTTTTTTCGATGGAGAGGGAAGACATATAAGGAGAAAAAATGCTTTAAAGCATAGTGATTTGAGCACTGTTTCTTTATGGGGTGGACATCCATGTGATTATACATACAACCACAATAGGAACCAGCATATTTCAAAGTCCATATCTGATGTCTTCATGTAGTTGGGCCCTTGTTCATATTAGTTTTGCCTGTGCTAATTTTCAGCTCCCTCTAAACAGCCTCCTGCAGCTGAATACAACTTTGGCACAGTGTGTCTGTGCTAGCTTATTTTATTAATTGACCCAAAGTATATATAATAAAGCATATAATAATATTACACAAGCATATGGTAAATTCAGAATATTAACAAACCAGCAAAGAAGTTCTGAGGCAAAAGCATGACTTTTTCTTTCATTTTTGAAAGCAATGCTATTCTTAGTAACTGTGTTATCCCTCTTGTTTGCTGTGTACAGTCGGAGGAGGATGAAATGGAGTTGGTGAGTTTGGGTTCCTGTCTGACAAGAGAGGAAGAGCGAGATGCAGAAAAGCTTAAGTTTTAATACTTAATCTAAATTATACCAATGTTCCCTTTGTACCAGACAAACATTTATTTGTTTGATCAAAACTGAAAAGCCATAAAAATCACAACATGCGAAGGCAGCCAAAGTCTAACGTCCTCCATTTGTAAATTTATATACGTCTGAAACACTTTTTCTTGTTTTTCTTGGAGGGAACATTGGAACACAGAGCCTTCCTCAGTAACTGTCCATGCACACACAGTACTTGTGGTATTCTTTTTAAATGCAAAACACCTTATATAGTCCCCAAAATTATTGAAATATTTTTAGAAAATGACTTCACTCCTGAAGTTCCTCAGATTGTAACACAAACCCTGCATTACTTCTCCTCCTTTCATGCAGATTACATCATTGCTGATGAGGTCACCTTTTTAGAGTTTAGAATTATTTCATACTGCAGGAGATGATCAAACCACAGGGGTGCTCCATGTTTACCAAAAGGAATATAGAATTGCAATCTAATTATTTTACCTTTTTCCATTGGAAGGATGTTCTGTTCTTGAGAGGAAACGGTTGCTTTCAGAAAAAGTTGCACCAGCTGACATTTCCTCTGGAAAATAAGTAAAAGGCTAAAATAACTTTTGGCTGATAAGAGATCTAGCTTATTTTTCAAAGCAGTTTGCAAACGTTTTAGCCATTGCAGCACAGCAATCACTGCAGAAGATGCTGCATTAGAGGACAATTTTGAGAAGATGGGCTTAACATTCCCAGTATTACTATGCTTTGATTTATTTTGCACATGGACCTGTTGCTAATATAAGGCTCTGATTGCATGAAAGCATGACATTGTAGTGAAGTATTTTGAATGCATGGTGTTGGATGGTACCTGAACTAGATTTTTTTTCCATAAATGTTGAGAGTGAACTATTTAAAAAAAAAAAAAAAAAGAGAGAGAGATTTACTTTTGAATGTTAATATTTGAAGTTACTCAAAAAATATAGTTTTATAGGAAGTTTAATATCATACTGACTGACAATGATTAGATGCAGTTGTCATGCTGCATGTTCTCACCTTTATAGAAAAATGGCTGCCTTGCAGTGTAAAGAAATAAAGGATATAATTCAATACAAAAATATTTAACCTGGTCATTAATATGTACATCTCAGTGATTGGAAGTCTTGATCAAAGACTGTTAAAATCAGATATTTTAATCATAGACATATTCGTTTTCTTTAACTGTTAGAATTACTGTGCTTCTGCTTTGTAAAACTGCTTGGAATTGAGATGCAGCCTGTTGATAAATGAATAATGTATGAAGATTTTGCCCTCTAGTGGTTGTTAAAATGGAGCTTTCCGGTACAATCATGAGCAGACCATCAGAAGGTGAAATCATCCTCGAACTAAGCCGGTTAAACTAGTAAATGATGTAAAACACCCTTGAATTCTGTGTTATTTCAGAATGCATAATAATTGATATATACAGCCAGATCCTTTCTGTCTAGATGACTGAAACTGAGCAAATATACTATATCTAATGGAGAGGGGATAAATACCTTTGCTTGTAGAATGAAATAAAAGGCATACACTTTATCCATTATCTCTGTCAAATTGTCCCCATTAAAAAAATAAGTCTGAAATGTGTTATGAATCTATATAAACCCTGGAACATATAACTGCCTCAGACAGACCAACAGGAGAAATTTCTCAGGAACCTTGTATTAGAAATTCAGTAATTCCGATAAAGTGCCCAGGAATAAATCACCTCTGAAAACAGCCTCGATTAGCCACTCAAACGAATCCTCATGGGGAAATTTCTGGGTCTGGATTGTTTCCCACTAGGCTTCTCTAACTTTTCCATTATGAAGTAATCCCAACTTTATAGGCTGCCATCCAAGAAGCCTTTGGAAAAAGGTCAATTTCCTACACACACACACACACACACACACACACACACACACACACACACACACACACACACACACACACACACACACACCCACCCCCGCTCTAATATCATAACAGCTAAACCCAGCTTTGGTCTAATAGATAGTAAGATTTTTCAAAAGCATTTAAGAGACTAAGGATCACAAATTCCATTGAAGATCAGTTCAACTTGTTCTTGCTCACATAGGTGCTTTGGAAAATTCCACCCTGAAACTGGTACACTACTTCTCTGTTGAACACAAACATCCAAATAATTTGTCAAGCCAGGTTTTTAAGGCTGGGTTTGACAAAGCCCCAGCTGGGATGATCTAGTTGGGGCTGGCCCTGCTTTGAGCAGGGGTTGGACTAGATGCGACCTCCTGCAGTCCCTTCCCACTCTCATTTTTTATGATTCTATGAAATAAACTGCAAAGTTAAGGTATACTTTCTATAACATTCAACAAAAATGGGCACTCCTGCAGGAAAGACAAATCTTGCACTGTAGTCGGTATTCTTCACACATGACGTAACCTTATTTAAACCAATTCATTCCTGTTGCTTCTTGATGAGTAAAAGCTTTTGAAAGAGTTGACAAGGTTGCTCCTTACTGAGCAGGGAAAAATCTGTTTTGGCAATTTTATGCACTGGAATATCCAGTCTCTAATCTCTGATGATATAATTGCATCTAGTACTGCCATCTTCAATTTCTGTAACTCTGTAACTTCACACTGAAACATCTGGTTATTATCAGAGGCCCTAAAATCTGCAGGATTAATAGCAAGCCCTAAATTATAATATCTCCCTTATAGTTTAAAGGTGTGGTTATTTTAAGGTATAGTTCTATACTTAAGGTAGCTAAGCGTGACTAATAGAAGATCATATTCCATTTACAAGTGGTAGCTATAACATGTTTTCTACCCTTTTAAATTATGAGGCTAAACTAGAAATGCAAAGCTGATAGTGTAGAGATGGCAGTATGCCATGCCTCTGCGGTCTCTGGGGTCCATTCTTATGAGAAAAGAAGTTGTGTATTTTGGTATCTCGTGCTTTCTCAGGAACAGGGAGGGGGAAACAGTAATAGGGATAATAATGAAATATCCTTATATCCATCCACATTCAGAAAAAAATGAATGGGGTGATGGTTCTTTAGTTGTTGGCAGTTGCCTCACCTGAGAAGTTGCAAAGCTGCTCTTCAAGGAGCAAATAAATACATTTTCAGAGACTTGGAGTGTAGCTTTTAAAACTAGTTTAAAATAGGCAACAAATTACCTTGGCTAATATTGAATGTTCCTTTTAAAATGAAGGCAGAGAGGGTGGCGTTACAATTCTGTAGGAAAAGTTGCGCTTGTTATTTTCTTGGAAAATAAAAAATAGCAGCATGGCATGTTGTTGTCACAGTCTGATGCATCTAATCTGTTGATTTGGGGATTTGGGAAAAAAAAGATTTAAAGTTTCTTTGCTAAAGAATATTGCATGCATGAGATGGAATGGCTTTGTTTTTTACAGTGTCCACCACACTGCTAAAGTAATATTTTCTGTAGCAGATCTTCAGAATGACAGATGGATTGTTTTAACTGCCTAATTCAAATTAAGGGGTTGTCACAAATGTTTAGTTTAGGACTGTGGCTTGTAAACTATTATTAAGAAATCAGTACGAGTTACCCACCCACAACTGGCTGCATTAATTTTTTTTCAAGTCTGATGGCTTCTCATATCAAAAGGCCCAATTAGTCTGTTTAACTCAAAGTATATTTTTTAAAATCTGCGTGCAATATAAAGAGTACTTTTTTGGTTCCCACAACCATGGATACTCTACCATTGCCAATAGTATAGATTTAAGGGATCTCTCGGGCTAAAATTTTCCAAAATGTTTACCAAAGTCATTTTTAGAAATAGGACATTGAAGTCTTTCTGCTTTCCTAACAGGACTTAGTCTCAGGAGTGCCTGTGCTGCCTTTGAAAGTGGGATATCAGCTCCCAAGTCATTGAGGCACTCCTGAAAAATTCTATCCTCTCTCCCTAAAGAGTGTGGGTTTTTTTTCTCTTAATCCAATCACAACTCGGATTAACATTAATGAAAACTGCTTGCACAGCAAGAAAATCATTTGCTCTAGTGCACAAATTATTTCTCATTTAAATTAGCCTAAAATAAAATTTGTGTTTAGCCTTTTAAATTCACAGAAGTAAATCTGCAGTCACAAAAAGAGTGATTCTGTTTTTGACCCAAAATATAAGGCTAAAAAAACCCATTTTAATTGATTGTTATTTTTACACAACCACATTCTTTTCCTTGTTGTAATTGATATCCACAAGACATGTTCTTTTGTTTTTAATCATTTGCAGAATACCCAAAGGATAAGCAGCTCTCAGTCTACACAGCCTCTTGCTACCCCTGTGGTGTCTGTGACAACTCCCAGCTTGCCTCCACAGGGACTGGTATATTCAGCCATGCCTACTGCCTACAACACTGGTAGGTTATCTCCCATTTAATTTAGCTAACCTGTAAGGCACATAATCCTACAGTTTTATTACCATAATCTTATGAGTCCCAGTTCCAGAAGGTTTGCGTGTTTGCAGCACTTCACCTTATTTGAATATTTGGCTTATATGACAACTCTTTCTTGTAACTGGAAAATCAGCTTTTAGTCTGTGAGAAGTTATTGATACTGAGACAGCAGGGAATTTTACCAGAAGCTTTTTGGTACCTTAGTATGTCTATGTTACATGACCGAACACAGCAAAAGTCAGGAAGTGTTGTGTATATCAGGGATGAACTATTATTTCTGGAGTCAAGAGACGCTTTAGAGTATGCTTCTTGTTTTATTCCACTTTCCTCAGAGAGTGCAAAGGGGCCAGAATCCTCCTGTGGGTCTTTTCCTAGTGTGGAAAAATCCCCAAAGAGTTAAAATAGTTTAAAAAGAGAGAAACTGTAAAAAATAGTTTTAAAAGTTTCCATCCAGGAAGAGCACACACCAGCTGCTGAAACTTCCTTAGCCTGACGAAGGGTTTTTGAACCCGAAAACTTGCTTAATAACTATTCTCCAACTATTTGGGTTGGTCTAATAAAAGATATCAGATTCACCAAAGGAACCTTGTCTGTCTTTAAAAAGAGAAGCATCCACCAGAATTTATGATGTAGTTTCATAGTAGCTAGGGTCAGGAGGGACCTGAACAGCTCATCTAGCCTGACCCCTGCCACAGGCAGGAATGAATGCTGGGTTCACAAGACCCCAGACAGGTGATCATCCAACCTCCTCTTGAATTTGGTTGAGGCAAATTTAAAAATAACTGCAAAGAAAAGAATTGCCAACTTGAGAAGATATCCCCAGCTGAGGAACCTGCACTAGGCGGTTAGCGTTGTTCCAAGGGAGCTGCAGTGTTTATTTCAGGAAAGTACTGCTGTTTCTATTATTTTCATAGTTTCATAGTAGCTAGGGTCAGGAGGAACCCGAACAGATCATCTAGCCTGACCCCCTGCCACAGGCAGGGATGAATGCTGGGGTCACA